AAACCACATTACAATGCGATACTATGCTACACCACACCACCTTACACCATAGGAGACCATACCACACACACTACACCACTACACATTACGCTACACCGTACCACGGTACCACACACACACACACACACACACACACACACACACACACACACACACACACACACACACACACACACACACACACACACACACACACACACACACACAACACACACACAAACAAACAAACAAACAAGCGCACACACACACAAACAAACAAACAAGCGCAACACACACAAACAAACAAACACAACACAACACAACACCAAACAAGCAAACAAACAAACAACAACACACAAAAAACAAACAAGCACAATCAAACAAAAAACACACAAACAAACAAACAAACAAATAACCACACACAAGGACAGTAGTACGAATCCTAAAAAGCGAAGGCTGCAACACGAACCGAATCATGAAGGTTACGGTCACACCTGCTCCCCAAGTTTTCAACGGGCGTGTGGATGGCGACGTGGGCGTGGCGAGAAGATGGTCGGGGGGCTTGCGGGAGGCAGAGTGGGCGGTGGGGGAGGGAGAGGAGGGAGGCGGGAGGGAAGGAGGAGAGGGGGAGAGGAAGGGAAGACAGGGGGGAGAAGAGAAGGGGAAGGCGTGACAGGGGGTGTGTGTCTGTTTCGAATCAAAGTCCGACTTGTTGCCGATTTTGTGTAGGGGAGCAGGGAGGGGGAAGGGGGAGGCTGGGGGAGGGTCTTGAATGAGAATTTGGACTATTGTCGAGAGGCGGAGGTGGGGAAGGGGAAGGGGGAGTGAGGGAGGTTCGAATCGCTGCCGACTTGGTCTGGTGGGGAGGTTCGGACTTGGTGGGGGAGGGGGAGGGGGGGCAAGCACAAGAGTTCGGACCGTCGCCGTGGGAGGTGGGAGAGGGTAGGGGAAGGGGGGGAATGGAAGGAAAAATAGACGGCGAAGGGTGGGGCTTTGCTTCCTCCCTTGGTCAGGCGGTGATCTAGTTCGCATTTCCTCTTTTGAATGTGTGTGTGTGTGTGTGTGTGTGTGTGTGTGTGGTGTGTGTGTGTGTGTGTGTGTGTTGTGTGTGTGTGTGTGTGTGTTAATGTTTATGTTTGTTTTGTCTATCTGCTCATTAGTCTCTGCTTATATATCTGTATCGCCATATATCTGTCGACCTTTCACTCACCCTATCTGCATTCGCCATCGTTCACCTACTTTCACTCCCCCTGTTATCCGTCTTCGTCGCAGCTTCCCTCAATCGGCCGCCATTAAGTCGTCGCACGAGTGCCACTTATGCGATGGCGCCCTTTGAGGAGTGCCAGCTGCAGTGGGGTTGCTTGGGAATTAATTGCTTGCGTCGAATTAGCGAAAACGGCAAATTCTCCCATTGTGTGCTCCGTTCCGCGTGCGAGCATTTACGGGGCTGCCTCTGTGTGCTTTCGTGATGTTGGCAAATCTTCCGGCTCTTTTCCTCCGTAAGTGAAGCGGAACAATGCACTTTCGTTACGTCACCGTTGCGCATTGTTCCGTGGTGAAACTATCACATTCTGTCGGCTACTGTTGATATCGGCGGCTGGGGAAGAAATAACTTCGCATCTCTTACCAAATGCCTCATGTTTCATTGATATTTCAGGATTGTTTTTTTTATCCGCAACGAGATTATTCTTGACTTAATAGAATTATTAATAAACTGGGATTCGCTGGTCAGTGAAAAACGAGTTTGTGTGTGTTAAGCTGGTCCGCTTTTGGCTGTGATCCAAGTATTGACGTTGAACCGATCATGGTTATAGTGGTTGCAACCCCACCATGATGGAGAGCCACCACCTGTAGGACAATGGAACGTCGACTGAAACTGAAATCTCTGAAGCGGGTATACAGCCAGAAGGTCCAGGGGTCGGAGAAGAAGGATGTCGGCCTGCGGTCCCCGGGCGCCCCGAAGAAGGCCCTGGCCAAGTCCCTGTCCCTCGACTGGCGGCTGCCCCTCGGCAACCCGCCCGACACCGCCGCCATGGGCCTGCAGAGGATTGACGAGCTGGACCTGAGTTCAAGCCAGCACCTTTGCCGCAGCGCCACCTGCCCCAGCGTGCCCAACAGCGATGCCATGCCCACGCCCCTCGCCCCCACCCCGACCTACGACGACTCGGCCAGGAACTCTCCGGCGCCGTCGTCAGTGACGTCGCTCGAGGACGGCGCCGCCACGCCCGTGTCGCGGCCGCACGAGGATTATGACTCCTCGTCGACCGTCCCTACGACGCCCTGCGGCAACCGGCGGCCGAACAGAGGGCTCCGCCGCACGCGGTCACGCCCAGAGGGCCCTGCACCCTCCTTTGGGCCCCGAGCCGCTGCCGCCGCTGCCGCCATAGGGAGTGGCGGCAGCGTGGGTTCCAGCGTCGGCGGCACCATTAAACGATACGTGAGCCTTCTGCGCAGCCGATCAGCTGTGTCGCACCGGGAGCGCCCCAACATCGGCCGCATCAGTCCAGGTAAACATCCTTGAACACTGTCCTTTCTCCCCCAAATCTTGTATGATCTTTATTAGGAGAATACTAGTGGGTGATCCTCGGTAAACACATCTAGGAGAGAGTAGTGCATCCCCCAAATCCTATAGAAACCTGCCGTTGTTGGTTACTCATCCACCGAGATATGCATTTCCTGCGGATATTGTGAAGCCGTGTTGTTCCCTTCTCGCCCCGGAGAGTCGCGTCCGGTGGAACTTGGTCGCGGCGCTCGTGACGCCCCCGAGGTAAGTCTCCCACCCAAAACAGCCTGGGCCCGAGCCTCAGGGGGCGCGCGCTCGTGCTTCGGAGATTAGTAAACATTATTCAAGGTTGGCGTTATGTGAGAGATAGCACAGGTCCGTTCATTTTCATAACCCAGGTTGACACGCTTACTTACGAAGAGAAAATTGATTTCTCCGAAGCGGTTTTGTAGGCCTAACTGTTAGGATGGACCCCCCCCCCTTGTATCTTTTACACTTCTCCGACCACCGAACTTACGCTATATTAGGTGATAATGCTGGGGTCGCCGACCGTGTCCGCCCACGCATCCTAACCCACGGTGATTCGATCTGACGCTGGCTTTAAATCCGTTGGTAAAAGTAATTGGAAATTATAGGATGGATATATACAGCATATTATTATATATATACATATATATAGAAAGGTATATTGTTGTATATGTAAAAAGGTATATTACATTTCGGAAAGTTATGAGACATATTTTGGAAGTTTTAGTATCATTTATCCGTAAGAAACGGCTTTCACAGATGAAAAAAAGAAAACCCAGAGAGAGGCAAGCAGTTCCGGGTCTGCTCCTTCCCATACATCCAGGAACAATAACGTTGCTAACTTCATTACTCAGGATGTCCTGATTCCGGATTTTTTTTGGTGAGTAAAATCGTGCAGGAGCCATAAATTTCCCTTGTTTATGAGTTGACTCCGTTACCGCCGCCCCCGCCCATCTGACGCCTGCCGCCCGCAACAGGTGTAAGGCTATAGCTCACGATCTGACCTTTTCTCGAAAGCCAACTTCAATAAATCGACTATAAATCGAATGGAAATTAGCAGCGAGCTTGTTTACTCTTTGCGAGCCGATTTCCGCCGGGCGCGCTGTTCGTTGCGCCCCCTAACCTAACTTAACCCAACCTACATTTTCTCACGTCTGATCATGATGACCTCGACTACCATATTACGTAGGCTGACCTTCCCCTCGCGTGTCCCCCTCCCCCCCTCCTCCCCCGAATACCCATACCGCATGTTGCCCTCTGGCGGCCGCGCTGGGAACCATCGACCGCCTACTACGTACATACTTGGGTAGCTGATGAATATTGCATTTTTCTCCGGTTTTTTCCTACACGAACACCTGCCCGGAGAGGCCCATCCCAAGGCCGCGGAGATCACTCAGGATCCGCGTGTCATTACGGCCGAACTTTCCAAGAGAGAGAGAGAGAGAGAGAGAGAGAGAGAGAGAGAGAGAGAGAGAAGAGAGAGAGAGAGAGAGAGAGAGAGAGAGAGAGAGAGAGAGAGAGAGAGAGAGAGAGAGAGAGAGAGAGAGAAATAGAGAGGGAGAAAGAGAAAGAGAGAGGAGAGGAGGGAGGGAGGGAGGGGAGGGAGAGAGGGAGTTAGGGAGAGAAGGAGGGAGGGAGGGAGGGAGAGAAGGAGAGAGAGAGAGATAGGGAGAGAGAGACAGACAGACAGACTGAAAAGAATTCTCTAGTCTCCTGCCGCGTTACACCGTCCTCACGTCCACTCTTTGCATAGCCTCACCTCCGCGGCCCCTACCCTGCACCCTCTTGCCCCCCTCCCCCCCCATACACACCCAATGCCTCGCCTAGTACCTGGCCATCATCGCCGTGTCTGGCCTTTATGAGTGAGGGGATGGCACTCCCTTTCCGCGGCGCAGGAGGGAGTGCCACAGAACGGCGCACTCGCGTAGGCAAATGCATATGCCTCTGTATGCTTGTAGGTTGGATGACATGTTGGAGCGGAGGATGTCATATACATACTTACGTACAAACATGCATATATGGTACACACACACACACACACACACACACACACACATATATATATATATATGTATATATATATATATATATACATATATACATATGTGTGTGTGTGTGTGTGTGTGTGTGTGTGTGTGTGTGTGTATGTATATGTATGTATGTATGTATGTATGGTATGCATGCATGATGAGAGAAAATGAGAGGAGAGGAGAAAAGAGAAGAGAAGAGAGAATAAGAGATAAATAGATAGATATATAGATAGTTACAAATAGGTATAGCTACAGATAGACGGCTAGAGTGTCCTTTCGCCATCGCGACACCTCACCCGAATCCACCGCAAGCGTTCAGGTAAATCTCCGCACCCCCCCCCTCCCCCTCCCCTTCCTGCGGTCCACCTCTCCGATCCGCAATAACCGGATTTTAATCAAACCTATAACGAATGCGATCCGTGGCCGGCCGAGCGTGCGTGCGTTACCCGACGGAGCTCGAAGTCCTTTCACATTTTGCAGACGTGCGTTGAAATTGCGGGACGGCCGTGAAATCCTTTCTTTCTCTCGGTCGGTCTTTTTCCTTCTGCCTTTCTTTCTTTCGTTCGTTCGGTCTGTCTTTTTTCTTCTGCCTTTCTTTCTTTCGCTCGTTCGGTTCTTTTTCTTCTTTCTTTCTTTCTGTCTTTTTTCTTTTTTCTTTCTTCTGATGTCTTTTTTTTCTTTTTCTTCCTTTATTTCTTCCTTTCTCTCTTACTTCATCTTCTTCCTTTCTTTCTTTCTTTTTCTTTCTACCTCTTCCTCTTCTCCTTCTTTCTTTCTTTCTTTTTATCAGCAGAGACGCGAAGATAATAATGACTTTGGTAAAATTGCTGTTGGTGGTGATGATGGAGAAGTTAATGTCGATGATGGTGATGATGATGCTGATAATGGTAGGATTGTTATGGTGGTGACTACGATGGTAATGATTTGAATGGTAATACTGATGATGTTTATGATTATGGTATAATGAGTGATAATGATGCGAGAAGATTGCAGTGTCGTGATAATGATAATGATGATAATGACAGATATTGAAAAGGGTGATAAGAATAATGACAATGATGAGAAAGGGAGTAAAAGAAGGAAGAGTTAATTCATAGGATGAGCAAAGAATAGAATTGGTCGCAGAAAGACAGGACTAAATTTACCACGAATATTGTCTCACTGAAACGGGTCGGAAGAGGGCTGTCACCCCCACTACCTGTGCTCCGTCCACCCCAGCCCCGTGTCCCTCGCCCACCCTGCCACCTGTGCCTCGTGATGGACACTTAAATGGGCGGCGCGGGCGAGAAAGAGCGATCCCTGGAAGAGAGATAAAAATCATGTTTATTTTTTTTGACGAAGGGCGGGTTGGCTCCAGGGCGAAGAGGATGCGAGCGAGGACCGTAAAGTAGCGAGAGGAAGCAAGGGAGGGAAAAGGGAAAGAGGAAGAGGGGAGAGGGATGAGGGAAGAGAGGGGACGAGGAGACACGAAAAGAGGGGTAGAGGGGGGGGGGGGAGTGGATATATAAATTAGCTTAGCTTGTTTATCGCCGTTCGCATTTATTTTTTATGCAGAGGAACGTTTTACGATGTTATTAGCACAGCTGTAGAGTGTTGCGACGCGGACCTGAAGGCTATATAAAGGTTGTGATGGCGGGGCGGTGATCATAAAGCGCCAGGAAGCTTACGCGGGGGAGAGGGAGGAGGGGGCGGGGGCGGGCGCTAAAGAGGGGATTTGTGTATATTTTGGAAAGGTAGGAGGAGAGGGGGGGGGGGCAGGCGTCGAGGTAGGGAGGAGGAAGGGGGAGAAAGAGGGAGCCGTCAAGGTAGGGAGAGGGAAAGGGGAGAAAGAGGGAGGCGGCAAGGTAGGAAGGAGGAAAGGGGAGAAAGGGAAGGAGATTATGGAAGGTAGGGTAAGGTGAATTGAAAAGAGGGGGAAGAAAGATTGAGAAAAGTTGAGGAAGGGGGGGGGTAGGAGTAAAAAAAGGAGGAGGAGAAAAGGGGAGGGATGGGAAAGCTCTCAAGGAAAATAGTAGAGAGGGGAAGAAAGGAGGGAAGAGTAAAGAAAAGGAAAATAAAGGGAGGGAGAGGAAGAAGACGAGAGAGGAGAAATGGGTTAGAAAGGGAGGAGTCAGAGAGGAAGAAAGATGGAGTGACGAGAGGCTTACAGAGAGAGAACCCATTAGACACACGAACAAACAAAGGAACACACATGCACGTACACACACAGACAACGAACGCACGGACACCACACACAAAGACGCTGTATTGTACCATGCACTTACTTTTGAAAGTGAGGAAGTGAGGAGTCACGCGTGGAGGTAATGTACACACAGTCTAGGTCTGTGTAAGTTCCTCATTACCTCCACACGCCCGGAAGATGCCAGCACCCGCCCACCCGCCCACGAGCGCCCGTCCCGCCCTCCTCGGCCCGAAGTGAAGAGAATCAAAGACTCCAGACCGTTTGCAAGATCACTCTGCGAGACGCTGCAAAGGCATAAAAATCGCGGGATGTTACTTTAACTGTCCTTTATATCACGAATCGAGTGGTGATGTTTTCTTCAGAGAGAGGTTGCGGGGGGGGGGGGGTGAAGGATGCGGGGATAGGGGAAAGGATACAGGGAAGGACACGGGGAAGGAGGGGGGTGAAGGGCAGGGGGAAGGGAGGGTTAGGAACTCGTGTGGGGGTGGATGAGGATTAGACCGTCTAGATTACATCACGCATCATGTTGGGGTGCGTGCGTGCGTGTGTGCGTAAACATCTACATGCACATGCCGATACTACCCTCAGATATATCTACACGGAGGTGCACCGAGGGCCTATCTGCCCCCTGTTTAATTACCAACAATAAGCGCGGTCCGGCCCCATCTCTCATCCGGGACTATGCGAGTCCGCTAAGCTCTTGGGTCAATATGGCGGCATCCACGAGCGGCCCGACGGAGCCCCATTTGTCCGCAATCACTTGGGATTATCTGCAGGAA